GACTTACTAAATACAGATCGAATCTTCTCTAATGAGAAGTTTATAGTAAAAAAAAACAAATATTGCAATGTTATATTACTTGTATGTGTACATGATTAAAATGAAAGCCAAAACTTTTTATTGAGATAGTCAGGTTTATTTAGGCCCCTGTTAGCATGTTGGATGTAGTTCAGGAATTTTCTGAAAGAAGCTTGTTTATTAAGTGAGGAATGATATATCTTTTAAAGCAGGCATAGAAAGAAAGGTTACCATTTTGGAATAAATATCTAAAATCTGATCACCCCGCCACATTTCTTTTTTTTTTTTTAATTGTCCATTTGGCCAATTTTATTTTATTTTTTTTTATTTCAGCATATTATGGGGGTACAGATGTTTAGGTTACGTATGTTGCCGTTGCCCCCCCCAAGTCCGAGTTTCAAATATGTCCATCCTTCGGGTGGTGCGCATTGCACTCTTTGTGTATGAAAATACCCATCCCCCCTCCCCCCTCCCCCCTGCCCAACATCCAATAGATGTTATTCTTATATGCCAGCCACATTTCTAACTGCATTCTAAGTAAGTTTCTAAAATTTCTTTTATTAAGTATATTTTATAATAACGGTTTTTGTCTTAGAAAATCAGGGGACAGCTCCCATGACCCTAAGGTGTAGGTTAGACTTCAGCACCTGAGGGTCATGTGAGATGGTTTTTAAAATCAGGAAATAGCATTCTGTATTGCATCAGGGTTCATAGGTCCAAGAAAGCAGAGGAGAATAGTTCCATGAACGAGAGAGAAGTCCTTACAGAAAGGAAATCAGTATTGCCCTGAAATGGGCTTCATATGGCCAAAATAGAGGCTCAGATCATTGGATCCGAATCCATTTTTAGTGACCATCCACATACTAAAGTTTTAGAAGCTTGGTGGTGGGGACTTATCTGTCACCCAACAGGCATATACTGAGTGATTCCTGTGTAGAAGCCCTGGATTAGGTACCTGGAGCACCTAGTGTATTAGCAGAATTGTCTATGATAGAGAAATCTTACTGTTATGTACAAGTGAGAACTACACTGAGACGAGATGTTAATATCCTAGGGCAAACGTGTCCTCGACAAAGACAGGCGACAAAGACAGGCGGTGAGGGAAGAAGCATTGTAATTATATGTAGCAAATGTTTCATTTGATGATGGATGACATGCCATTTCCCAGATAACAGCAGTAGGTTAGGGCGAACATATCTGCAAGTGTGGGAAGGTTGAAAGGCTTCACATTTCATGTACTTAGAAATAGTTAAGGGGATAGAAAAACTATTCCCTGAAAGAGCCCAAAAGAAGAGGTGAAATGCATTTTTCTCTATTCTCTCATCATTTCTAACAGAGGAAAAGAAAGGAAAGGAAAGGCTTCTTTCTCCTCATGAAGTCAAAGCTTAACTGTAGCTCAAACACATGTGAGCTGCAACTCAGGATATTTGCATATCCGTCCCAGCATTGTCATTTAAAAGCTGGTTTCTTGGAGTTGTTAACCTCTTTGAATATCAGTGATAGCAAAATGTTTTGGTCATGCAAAGTTGTGGTATGGTTGGTATCTTGCCAGTAAGAACGTGTTACTCCAGCTTCATCCTAAGCACGCTGTGTGAGGGTTTGAAAGAGTTTTGTACCAAATAATCATAAAGTTAGAAAAACATGAGGTGAGCTAATTCAGATTGCTCAAAGTTCCACTTAATTAGTTTTATTCAAAAAAAGTATTAAAGTTCATGAATGTGACATACACATTGTTAACATACTTTATTTCCAGCCTGTTTACTTATTAGGCAATAAAGCCAACATTCCTAGAAGTGCCTATTTTATCGTGACTATTAAATGTTTCCACACACATAAAAAGAGTCAAGTCAGCTGTCGAAATCAATTCTAAAACAATATGCCCTTTGAAATGTATTTCTCCATCTGGATTCAGACTCTGGGTTTAAGTATACAGTGGTAGGGAATATAAGGTGACCCTGGATTTTTCATACTACAGAATGAAAAAATAGTATCTCCTAAAACTGGGGCTCAAAAATACCCAGAGATGAGACTCTTTTCATTGGTACTTGGGGTTGATTCATTTAATTTTCCTTTTGCTTGGTTTAAGACCCTGTACTATAGGAACGATGCAGTAGTGAGCAGCTTCATTGAATGATATTTTCAACGCACTTTGGTACTTACATGTTCATTGGTGAGCCATGGATTATTTCATCATCTGGATGCCTAGAAACTCTGAGTGAGTCGTGTTCTAGAACTATGAAAGTAACCAATGAGCAACGTGGCATTGGTAACCTAGCAGTTCAGAAAGTATGTTGCTTTAAACTGGAAAAGGCTTGGCACGTAAGATCTCTCAGGTACTGTGAACTGCAGTGCAGTTTTCCTTCTCTTCAAAACCTCTAAATACCTCTGACTGGGATTCATTGTGTTTTCTAGTGTTGTTTCTTTTGTATGACACTAATACCTATTATTTTTACTGTAAAGCTGGGACTCAAATATCAAGAGGTGGGACTCCTCTTAGGTGGGACTCTGTATAGTACTTTAATATAGAAATATTTGGTATCCATTTCTGCTTTGAAAGATACTAAAAGTGAGTGACACTGAAATAAATAGGTTCAAAATTGTATCCTAAATAGAGGGATTTTCAAATATGGTCAAAAAGGTAGTCTCTGAAAGGCTAAACCAGCCATGGTTACTAGCCACGCAGTAAGCCAGTGCTGTCGAATCTTAAAAATTCTCTTTTCCTACCAAATGGCATTTAGGATCCACTGATAATTTAATTTCCTGGCATTTACTGTTCCTGGAGATTTATTTGGTTTTTTAACTCAGCTCTTCACAAGAAAGTAAATGTTTGTTGAGGGCAGCAATCTCAATGTGGCAAAGCTAAGACAGGGATTTTATGTGACACAGGAAAGACCAGCAAGAACGGATTAAGGAGAGTGATTTTCCACATGTCCCTGGGACAGTACTTTGCTCTGTAGACAGGGAGGCTAAAGGCAGTTTAAAAGTGCCTTACATAAACAGCGAATAGTTCAAGGAGGCAGGCCCCGAGTTCATTGTTTCTAACTCAGTTACATAAGGGAACATTCCAGCTTGCTTTTTAGGGAAAAGTGCAAGTTAAGAGCCATTGGTCTTGGTAGGTCTCTTAACTGTGACACAACTGTCCCAAGCAACTGTCTTGCCAAGTCTCTGGAGATGGGGGGGGGCGTCTGTGTGTGTGTCATGAGGAGGCAGAAGGTGCCGTGGCCTGTTCAGTGGCCTGATGTCCCTTGTTTGGAGGCTGGCTTCAGGCACTGATGGGGGTTCTGAGTGAGGGTTCAACAGCCTTTGCCCAGGCGGGTGCTGAGACGCAGGGTGTGGTTTCCTTAGCTCACTCTCTGCTATTTGGTTGCCCATGGCAACAGGATCCAAACAACTTGTACATGTGTTTGTATATAAAAAAAAAAAAAAACTGGGAATGGAACCCAAAGCGGGAGTTTGGGACTGTTCAGTGAGTGGAAGAGCTGTGGTGAGTACCGGGCAACTGCTCCTTTCTTTTCCCTCTTTCTTTCTGTCTAAATTACACCCTGGATGTTTGCTAGCACAAGAGCCATGTTTGTGGATGTTTGAAAAAATAGCCTCAGTTCTTGTGTTTCCTGCACAGATGAAATAATTGCTGTTTATTTACCCGTGTAAATTTCTTTTTCAGGGGGAAAAGAACAAATTAGCATATGTTTAAGGAAGTTGAGAGCTAATAGAAACTCACTTTTTGGTGGCAGGATTCCGTAGGAAATGACTTGGCAGAGGGGGCCACAGAGCGCCTTAGCAGTGCTTGGATTGCAGGCATGTTGTCTAGGGCACAGCCCGGGACGGAGTTGGGGAGGGAATAGGATTGTTCCTAAGAAGGGAATGGAATGGATTCTTGGACTAATCAGCTTAGCACTTTTTAAAAGTCATTTTTTTCCAGATTATACTTGAAAATTGCCATTTTTAAAATAGCAAAAGTCCCAAATGGTAACTCTTCTGTGAATACATTGATCCTTGCTTGCTTGACCCAAGGGGGATTTGATTTTGGTCGCAAAACCACACATCCCTGTGACAAATAATTCCCAGTTGTGAAACTTGCCTGTACCAACGGAGAATACCATTTTTAGAAATTTTCTGTTGCTATATTGCTCAGGCCTCAAGTCAGTAAACTATCTTGGACAAAACTCTTTAGGGTCTATTCAGGGATTAAACACTTTTCTGCCAGATTTCAAGTAAATGTAAACATTTTAAACAAATGAACGAGGCTTGCTTTTGTGCCTAGTGTGGTGTAGAGTGGGCTGTTTTTTTCAGATGACTAGAATTTTATGGATAGGAACGTGGGGCCTCCAGAGAACACTGTCCCCTCTAAAAAGCCACGGAGGAAAAGGCAAAAGCCGGCAGGAAGGCATCCGGCTTGCAAGGAGGTGGGCGCCCACCTCCTTCTCTGGCTCCGGTGCTGCCCGGCCTGCCCACGCACGGCCGCCTTCCCCTGAGGAGCTGCTGCTGCAGACGGGCGCCTGCCTTCCCGCCACCCCTTCGAGCCTCTGCTCCGCGCTCTTCCTTTGTGTAAAACAATTTCTTCTTTCCTGCCTGTTCCATCATGCCCTTTCACTCCTTCAGGTCACTGTTCACAGTGACCGTACCTCCCGGAATCCCTGTCTGTCGACCCCAGCCAACACAAGCCTGGATCCAGCTGTCCCCCTCGCTGCTCTTTGCAGATCAGCAAGGTGGTATGTCTGAGCAGGGCTTTCTGCCATCTCCACAGGGAGTCATTGGCCATTGGCCTTCTGGCCCCAAGGGGCACTTTCTTCATAGCAAAGTGTCTGTTGTCTTGGTGCCTGGTGGCCAGCTGGGCTGAAAGGGAAGCTGGGCCCTGGTCCCCAGACCTCTGAGGACTTTCTGGGCCACACGCAGCATTGCACAGGTGCCTCTGGGAGCCACCACGGCAGGGCGCTCGGGCGTTTCCGGTGCTCATTTGTTTTGCCTACTTGCCCCCACAGGCCCCACCAGCTACAAGGTAGGCACTATGGCTGAGAAGTTCAATTGCCACTATTGCCGGGAAGCCTTGCAAGGGAAGAAATACGTGCAAAAGGATGGCCACCACTGCTGCCTGAAGTGCTTTGACAAGTTCTGCGCCAACACCTGCGTGGAATGCCGCAAGCCCATCGGTGCGGACGCCAAGGTAACAGCGTCCCCACATGCCCATGGGCAGTCTGGGCTTCGGAGTGTAGTTTGCCCACAACTGTGACAGCAACTGCCTGCCTTTATGATTTGCCCCATCCCCACAGCCACCTTGAAGAAGCCTCCTGCAGCCCCCAAGCCATAGTGTCCCTAGCAGTTTAACGAGGGCCTGGACTAAATGGGTGCTGGACCTTACCAGCTCTTTTGGTTGTGCTCTAAATATTTCAGGAATTGTGAGGTTTTTTATCCTCACCTCGGTGTCCTCTTGTTACTCATAAGAACAGTCACCTGGGGCACCCCCAGGTGTAAGGAATGGCTGTGTCATTTCAGTAGCCAGGCCCGGGGAGTCAGCCTGATGGGAGGGCTGCTGCCACTGTCCCCCGGCGCCCCTCACGGCCGCCTACCCCCTTCTGTTTGGTTTCCAGGAAGTGCACTATAAGAACCGCTTCTGGCATGACACCTGCTTCCGCTGTGCCAAGTGCCTGCACCCCTTGGCCAATGAGACTTTTGTGGCCAAGGACAGCAAGATCTTCTGCAACAACTGCGCCACTCGGGAGGATTCCCCCAAGTGCAAGGGGTGCTTCAAGGCCATCGTGGCAGGTACTGCCTCCCCCTACCCCGGGCTGCCAGGGAGGAGGCCCTGAGGGAGACGCGGGCTTGCTTGTCACGGTGGGGCTAACGTTGCTGTGAGCTGCTTTGAGATTTTAGCATATATATGTACACATATACATACATGTATATATGCGTACACATATATGCTCGCACACACGCACACACTCGGAGACTAAAGAACACTGGCGACAACAGCCTGTGGCAAGACAATGAAGTGAACAGTATGTAGCGCTTTCTCATTTGGGTGTAGTAAGTGATCAAAGCATGCTTCTTCCTCAGGGTGGGATTCTGGGCCAGGCAGTCCCCAATTTAATCTCTGAGTGCACGCAGGGTGTAGAGGTGGGGGAGTGGGGAATCAGCCATTGAAGCCCAAAATAGTGATGCTGGAGTCCCCGCCCATGACAGAATCCCGGGTTGGCACAACCTCAAGTAGGACGTGGGTAGGTTAGTTGGAGGCATGAGGCCAGTAACTGCAGGGCCTGCATCCCTTCACCTCCAGAGGGTCTGGGAGGGGAGCCCAGTGGATGCAGCCCCCTGCAGAGCCTGTCAGTGGGGCTATCGATTGCTTTCCCTGCAGGAGATCAAAATGTGGAGTACAAGGGGTCCGTCTGGCACAAAGACTGCTTCACCTGCAGCAACTGCAAGCAAGTCATTGGGACTGGAAGCTTCTTCCCTAAAGGGGAGAACTTCTACTGCGTGACTTGCCACGAGACCAAGTTTGCCAAGCATTGCGTGAAGTGCAACAAGGTACGTTTTCCAGGGAGTTCTGTGTTGACCATTGTTTCTAGAAGTGTTTGACAGTTTGCAGAGCACTTGCACACACACTATCCCATTCCATCCTCACGACAGCCCTGTGACGTAGGAATTATTATTCTCGTTTTACAGATGAGGAGACTGGGATTACAAAGCAGTGCCGCAGCCGAGTCAGGCTGTCGGTGTGCCCGCTCACTCCAGTGGCGCGGGTGGCTCGCACTGTGCTCTGAGCCAGGCAGCCCAGGCTCTAGGGGCCTGCCTCTGCCACTTAGTTCCTGCGTAACGTCGCAGAGGGGCTCGCCTTCTCCGAGCCTTGGTGTCTTCATCTGTAAAGTGGGGATAATAATAGCCCCTGCCTCCCATGGCTGTTGTGGAGATTAAATGAGATATTGTATACCAAAGCGCCCAGCACGGTGCCTGGCACGTAGTAGGCATTCAACAAAATGGTTGTTGAATCTGAATCCGGTGCTACACTTCCTGGTCTAGGCCATCACATCTGGAGGAATCACTTACCAGGATCAGCCCTGGCATGCCGATTGCTTTGTGTGTGTTACCTGCTCTAAGAAGCTGGCTGGGCAGCGTTTCACCGCTGTGGAGGACCAGTATTACTGCGTGGATTGCTACAAGAACTTTGTGGCCAAGAAGTGTGCTGGATGCAAGAACCCCATCACTGGTAGGCTAAAGAGTCCTTGCTAAGTCTGCCAGGCTAGGTTTTACGCATGGTATCCATCTCTCATTTTCCTATGTCGTCGGTTTCATCCACAAAGGCTCCCAAAGAATGCCCTTCTCTCCCTGCCATTGTGGTCCCAAAGGCCCCCCCAAGTGCTTGGATTTGTCCCCCAGGCCAGGCTAGCCTTTGCAATACAGAACACTTCCTGACTACTGCTGACTAACTTAACAGTGCCGAGTTCACGAGCCTGAGACCCACAGCCACACTGTCACTGCGCAAGGGATTCTGCGGGGGCGGGGATGGGAGGAGGGTGGAAATGGCGTGGGGAGGAGAGGGAGGGCGGCTGGAGAGCGATAACCTGGGATCATAACACCCCGTAGCTGAAAGCTAGTTCAGAGGTGCCTTTTGGCAGGTTTTTTTTCCCTTTTTTTTTTTTTTGCGATCAGCAAAGCTAATCACGTCATTCCTCATCTCGCGGCCGCGGTCCACGTGCCCTGGGCCCTTTCCCCTGCCTCCAATTTTCCCATCTCCCCGGGGAGCCTTGAAATGTACATTTGAGAAGACTTTTGCCATCCTCAGGGAAAAGGACTGTGTCAAGAGTGAGCCACCCAGTCTCTAAAGCTAGGAAGCCCCCAGTGTGCCACGGGAAACGCTTGCCTCTCACCCTGTTTCCCAGCGCCAACCTCCGGGGCAGGCATCCGGGTGGAGAGAGGACTTGTCCCTCGTGGGTGGTGGTTCTTTATAGAAAAAATCGAAGCTTAGCAGCTCCTCGAGGCCCGGTAAGTGCACACCCCACGAACAGCCCAAGTTTGCCTCCTGGTGGCCACTTTGATGCCATGGTCCTGACCTAAATCAAAGAAACTGGTTATGCTGGGAGGTCGGTGCGCGTCACAGGGCAGTAGCGCGGTGGCATGGGAACGTGGGGTCTTTAAATCAGGGAAGCCCTTGGCTGAGCTCCGGCATCTTCTCAGGTTCTGGAGAGCTGTAGCAGGGTCGCGGCGGCGTGGGGGACAGTGGCAGCGTGGGGGACCGTGCACGATGGAGCAGAGGCGGGGGCTGGGAGCCAGGCAGACACTGGCTCTGTGTGCTTGTCGATCTGTGAACGGGGCACGTCGTCATTTTATCTCTCTGAATCACGACTTCCTCACCTGTATTCATTCAGCTGTCTCTCTTGTTTTCTTTTGTTTTTTCCCAGGGTTTGGTAAAGGCTCCAGTGTGGTGGCCTATGAAGGACAATCCTGGCACGACTACTGCTTCCACTGCAAAAAGTGCTCCGTGAATCTAGCCAACAAGCGCTTTGTTTTCCATGAGGAGCAAGTGTATTGCCCCGACTGTGCCAAAAAGCTGTAAACTGACAGGGGCTCCTGTCCTGTAAAATGGCATTGCAGTCTTGTTCTCTGTGTCCTTATGCTCTGCCCTACACCATCTATAGGGGAAGAGTGGTCTTTCACCTCTTTAAAGTTGCTCCTTCTTTCTTTTATCCCATTTTACAGTATTATTCAAATAAGGGCACACAGTTGGTCATACTAGGATTTAGCAAAAAGCAACCCTGCAGCAAAGTTAATTTCTCTCCAGCTGCAGTTAAAAAACGAAAACTTAGATAGATTGACTCTTCTGCATGTTTCTCATAGAGCAGAAAAGTGCTAACCATTTAGCCACTTAGTGATGTAAGCAAGAAGCATAAGAGATAAAGCCCCCACTGAGATGCCTTTCGTGGCTCAGCTGGGACCCACCGTGTAGTCACACGACACGCAAGAGTTGCAGCGGCTGCTCCAACTCACTGTTCACCCTCTTCTGTGAGCAGAAAAGAACTTACTGACGTGCATGGTTTAACTTCCTCGTGAAAACTCTTACCTTCCTTCTGTTCTTTTGTGCTTTTAAATGACTAACACGAATTTCCAGAAAATTAACATTTGAACTTAGCTGTCATTCTAAACTGACCTTTCCCCTGTACTAACTTTTGATTTCCACGTGTGGCATGTTTTCTGAGCGTTCCTACTTTAAAGCATGGAACGTGCAGGTGGTATGGAAAGTGTAGGCAGATCTGAGAAAAACGAGCCTGTTTCAGAGGAACATCGTCACAGAGGATACTTTCGGAAGCTTAACAAAACTAATCCTGCTGTCCTTTCTATTGTTTTTAATCAATATTTTTCGTTTTAATCAATAGCAGAATATTTTATGGGTTTGGAAACTTGCATGAAAATCTTCTAGCCCCCCTCAGACGTTCCTGCAGTGTTGAAATTCATACTACACAAGTAACCGTAAAACTCTAGAGGTGTAGCTGAGCAGGCGCCAGGGCTATCATCAGCATGGATCTGACATTTCAAAACAGTGACTCGTTGAATCCCTTGTAACATAGTAGTTGCCTGCTCTTTGTTCATGTGTTAACGAGGACTGTTAAGTCCCTTCTCTTGTGATTCCTAGGACTTTCCTCAAGAGCTTAGCTGGATCTCTGGGGGAGTGGGGAGGCCACCATCCTCACAGGCAGAACCGGATTCCACCTACTGCTTACCTGAAATGCAGGATCACCTACTTACTGTATTCTACGTTATTATATTACATAGTATAATGAGACAATATCAAAAGTAAACATGTAATGACAATACGTATTAACATTCTTGTAGGTGTGGTTATAGAAGCTGATGCCTCATTTCTACATTTTGTCATTAGCTATTATCATCTAATGTTTCCGTGTATCCTTACAGAAATAAAGCAGCAAATAAATAATTTGCCTCCTGTCTTTTAATTCTGCCCAGTAGAATACTATAAGGTGATAGTACTCACCAGAAAACTGAGTACTAACTAGTACTAACCCAGAAAACTGAGTGACTTTTTTCCTTTAAAAATATACTCAGTCCAGTGCAATTGCATGGAGCATAGGAATTACAAACAAACCAAACCTGTAAAACCTTTTGGTCCAGTTAAAGAAAAAAAAAAAAGCAAAACAGAAACTACTCTGGCCCAAAATAGCATTTCCTAGGTTTTCACATCGCTGGAAAGGGATGAATTGATTTTCTTGGGCCAGGATGGTGGGGATTGGGGAGAGAATCCCAGACGAAGCGTGTCACTGAGAAGCCATCTTGGCCCATTTGGTTGGGTGCCTCCTCATTGCCCCCTCCCCTGGTGCCCTCTGGAGCCCAGGGTCCAGGCTGAACACGACCATCTCCTCACCTGCGGCTGCCTCCATCGTCTGGCCTCAGTGAGACCCTCGCCCCTCCTAGTGGATGTGGCTTACTGGGGAGGCTGCTTTTTTGGGCCCCTGTACTTCAATTCAGTTAGGGGTGAGGGGTGAGAACAGTGTGGCAGAGGTGGAAGTTGGTCCGGTACTTCTAGATCAGCACAACACACTCAGGTGTTTGGTTCACCTCGGGTGCTCGTGTTCTCAGGTCATGTAACCCACTCATGCCCACGTGGTCCTTTCAAGACAGCACAGAAGGCCCAATGCAGCAGGTGTGTGCTGCACTCTCCTCCTGGTGGAAGGGTCCACAAGCCACAAGGGCACCTCATCAAACTACATGTCAGCCACAGGCACAGTGCGGAGGGGGCAGAAGGAGCAAAGGGCAAAACCCCTTTTGGTGCTAACATTTCCTTCTGAGAAGGGACTCAAAACCTGTGAGCAAGAAACCATGAGCATTTTTTTTTCTTTTGAGACAGAGTGTCACTGTGTTACCTGGGCTAGAGTGAGTGCCGTGGCGTCAGCCTAGCTCACAGCAACCTCAGACTCCTGGGCTCAAGCGATCCTCCTGCCTCAGCCTCCCGAGTAGCTGGG